TTATGCTGCCTGATCCGCTGTCCTTGCCAATCAATAACCTCCACGACAGGATAAATTTGCCTTTATCTACTTAGATTATTTAGTTTATCTTGGATCTCTCTGATTTCTGCCTCTAAGTCAATGGGGCAGAGGCAGCAGCAAAGGATTTGAAGTGGCAAGGAATGGATTCTGCCGTGGAGGTCTCATGGAGACATCTCCGTCTGCTTTCTTCCTTTCCTCTTCCAACTTCTTTTTTAGCAGCACAATCTCTCTTTCTAAAGTCTCTTCTTCCTCTTTTATATCCCTTTTAGTACTTTTAACTTTCCTCTCCTCAAAGCTCTTAATAGACTTCACGGATTCTTCATCCTGAATCTCCTCAAAGGTTTGAAAATGTTGCTATAGGAAATTCTTCTGGCCCTCGCTCTTTTAGCGCATTTTGAAGATCAGCTTTCACCTGCTCCCAGTCAGGAATATTAAAGCACCCTGCTTGAAGAAACCAGGGACTAAACTTTCTCAGAAAATTAGGCAATAAACTACCTTAAGACTCAGCAATACCACTTTTGGGCCTATACACAAAAGAAAACTGTCTTAATGAACTCTGTGCTGTCTTAGTTTTAATAGCGGTGCCTTGCTTCTCTAAAAGAACTATCAATTGGCCCATCAATACTGGAACAGAATTACTAGTACCCATCTTCAATTCACCCTCACCATCAATATCTTACCTGCTGGTCAGCCTTCTGAGGGCAATCTCTCAGCTCTCTAAGATCTACTTCCCGATCTTGCTGGTGGCCTCCAACTGTAACGTCTGTGCTACTGGATGGTTCGTGAGCCAGGCAAAGGCCTGGAGATTAAGAAACACAAGAGACATGGGGCATCTGTGAAGAGAGAATGCCAAATGCCATTTATTCAAGCTTAGAAAAAAACCCTATATACCTAACTGCTGCACAATGGAAATCCCCCTAGGTAGGTGGGAAATTACAAGGCCCAAGACAGAGTAAACAGCAGCCCTGTAGCTAACCACCAGAAGGGCAGAAGGAGCACAGGAACAAACAGGATGTTTTGCTGGAGATGTTTTGCCAGAAACTGCAAGCTATCCTCAATATGAGCCATGGGCGGAGGGGTAGACCTGTGGGCTCTACAGCTCTGCTTCTCTGATCAACCCCCAATATCTGACTCCAGGTTTTTATTGTTAAGACCAATTAGAAATCGTGCTACACATTCCCTCAGCCAAAGGGAGCTGCTCACCTATGAACTCACCCCTTCCCACAAAAGCTCGGAAAAGGCCAGCTTAAGAAGAACACAAATACCCAACCTCTGTGCCTCCACTTAAGATATCCCAGGTTTGGGTTCACACGATAGAAGGAGAGAACCAACTCCAGCAAGTTGTCCTCTGTGTTCTGAACAAACACTGGTGGCATGGACATGTGGACTCAGTGACACACATGTGCACACATGTAATTAAATGTAAATAAACGAAAAGTAAATATCCATTTCAAAAAAAAAGATATCCCAGGTTTGAACCCACAGGAGAAGGGCCTAGGCCTTCTGGACAATCACTCTATTGCCCAGCCTCTCTCTTGGCCAACCTGACTTCCCTATCTCTCACACAGGTATTGTTCCAGGAAGTACACAAAAAACTCCTGCATACGATGTCCACACCAGAGACTGTCCCCCAGGAAGATAGCCTCTGCCAAGGCCATTTCTTTTCTTTTCTTTTCTTTTTATTACTGTGGAAGGACATTCTGCTCCTTCAGCCTTTAAGACACCAGCCCATTTGGGTGTGGTCTCTTATACTATAAAAGCAGCTGTAAATGTGCTCGCTCTCTTGCTTCTGGCTCCCACTTTCAGCTGCTAGACTCTGTTCCTGTTCACATAGAGGACTATTATCTAGGACAGTGATCTGTAAGGTATCCCTTAAATAAATAACCCTCTTATTATTCATAATTCTGAACTTGTATGGGATTGTCCTGTCACTTACATCATCATTTTATTGTTTTTTATTGAACTATATATTTTTCTCCACTCCCTTTCCTTCCTCTCCCATGGTCCCCGTGCTCCCAATTTACTCAGGAGAACTTGTCTTTTCCTACTTCTGCCAGGGTCATTTTCCTGTTGGTATTTCTGACACAGTTTGCCTTCATGGGCCTTTTATAGTTCCATACGTACAGGTGGAATCATGGGGTTAAAGGAAACATGCATCTTCAATCTCACCAGAAGTGACCCATGAGCTCTCCAGTTACCTCTTTGCCTGGTTGCCCTCCTCAAAGCAATGAATTGAATCCTCACTGACATCCTCCTCCTTCACTTCCTTTATTTTTTGGTTCTTAGATACAAGGTCTCATGTAGACCAGGCTAGCCTCCCACTCACTATGTGGCTGAGGATGACCTTGAACTCCAGACCCCCCTGCTTTCACCTTTGCAAGTGTTAGGATTACAAATGAGATCCTCCACATAAATAAATCTTAAGAAAATGTATGGCCTCAAGAATATTTCATTAAAAATTATCAATATTGTAACTAAGAATCTGGAAAAGAAAAAACGATTCAAACAAAGCAGAAAGGCTTAATGAATAGGCACTAAGAAAATCTCGAAAGTTTTTTCTTGCAGTGGTGAGAATTGAACCCAGAGCCTCGTGGATGCTAGGCAAGCACTCTGCCACTCAACAGTCTCCCTGGTCTGTGCAATAGCCTTTCAGAAGCTTTAATCAATAACAGAGATAAGTCACTGAAAAGGTTAGTAAAGAGCATAAACTGGCTGGGTCTAATCAAGAATGAAAGGTAAGCTATTAGAAGGAGGCATTTGCTGTGGCCGCCTTAAAATAGAATTCCTTACACAATAGTGTGCCAGTAAACATAGATTTAGACTGAATACGATGATGTTGGGAGAAGTATAAATCATAACTATATAAAAATAAATAAAAACCTCTTGGAAAGTTCTACTAAGCATTCACAGATCGGAAACTATCCCATTCAAACCAAATGCTGCAGGACATAGAAAAAGATGAAGAGCTGTGGGTTTTATGAAGCTAGTATCAAACTCGTACCCAGACTAGACAAGCACAGCACAGGCAAATAAAACTGTGGGTCCACATCCCCTGTGAGTAGACGTGTAGAGCCCTACATAAAATATTAGCAAATTAGCCCCAGATAAAGAGCAATGAATCAAGGTGGTTTCACACCATAAGGATGACCGAAGCTTTAAATCGCTATTGATGTGGTCCCTTGTGTTAATGGAACGGAGGAAAAGCCAGCTTTCCGTGGCTGTCCCAGAATGCAAACCCACTTACCGCACCAAGGAATAGATGTCCACTGTGGCCCCTTGTGGTGTAATTTTCTACACTAGGTGACATTTTTTGATCATTTATTACATGTCAGACATGGTTCCAAATGCTTTGCACAAACTAATTCTTTTAACCCACACACAATCCTATGAAACAGGTGCTGTTATTGTCTCCATTTTCTTTTTCAGGAGAAGCTGGGTAAGCTGAGGTATTAGGTGACTTGCCCAGGTCACCCAGCCGAGTGACAGAGCCCAAAGCCAAGCAGAGAAGGCCGGACATTTGTCACTTTGTGCTTTGCTAGCTGGTTCCTCCAGGCATAGTTAGGAAAGTGTCATGTTTTAAAGATTTATTTTTGTATGTATGAGTGTTTTTGCTTGCATGTATGTCTATGCACCGTGTGCATGCCTAGTTCCCACAGAGACCAGAAGAGGGAATCAGAATCTCTGGAACTGAAGTTACAGATGGTTGTGAGCCACTATGTGGATCCTGGGAACTGAATCTGTGCTCTGTGGAAGATCAGCCAGTGATCTTGGCCACTAAGCCATCTCTCCAGCCCCAAACAAGATCGCATTTTTAACAGAGGCATCTCTAGCCAAAATGGATTAAAGTGGTGGTACAGATGACTCGGGTCAGCCTGTTGTGGTGATTTGGATAAATATGCCTCCATAGGCTCACAGATTTGAACACTTGGCCATCAGGAAGTGTTACTACTTGACAGAGATTAGGAGGTGTGGTCTTGATAGAAGAAATGTGTCACTGGGGGTGGCCTCTGAGGTTTCAAATGCTCAAGCCAGGCCCAGTGTCTCTCTCTTCCTGCTGCCTGCTGATCAGATGTAGAACTCTCAGCTACCTCTCCTGTACCATGTTGGCCTGGGTGCCACCATGCTTCCCACCATGACATTAACGGACTAAACCTGCTATCATTGTGGAACATTTACATAACAGTTCAAAAGTAAGAGGCTAATGATAGTTGTTGTTGGAATGATTGTCCCCAGTGGTCCGTCCACTAAGGGAGGCCCCAGCTTAGTGCTGTGGGAGGAGTGGGACTTTCCTGAAGTGACAATTTAGTCACCGAGGTATGTTCTCAATGAGGATGCTATTTAAAATGCTGATTTCTTACTCTCAGTCTTTCACATCTGCCCCTGAGGTAAAAGCCCTGTGCTCTCTGTCCCAACATACTGGTCACCACCTGCCCCCCCAAAACTACGTCAACTTGCCTATACCTACCATGGACTGAAAGCGCCAAATTATAGGTCAAAATAAACCTTTGTTCTTTTCAAATTGAGCATCTCTGGCATTTTGTTATAGTAACAAAGATGACTAACACTGTTTTAAATCTTACTAAGATTTCTTGGAATGAATGAATAGTAAAAGTTGAACGCAGGGTTAGCTGATTCTGTCAGGAATAAAAGTTCAACATAAAAATACACAGTTGCGTGCATCCACACAGCAAGGAGTACTGTTTTGGAAACAATCTCTGGAAGTTTGCTCATGGTTGTAAGAATGCCTCACTGAATAAGAGGTACCGTATTTCTTGTTGAATTTCAAGACTCACGCAAGTCTCAGGTCTTTTATGTCAGTCAAGAGTCTGATGTGCTGAGATGCATGAACCCGGAAGTAAGTTGCTGATAATAATTGTTCTTTTCGGTGAATAAAATTCTTCCCCGGCCCAGCCTCCACTGCACATTCTCGTTTTCGCCAAGTCCCGCCGCAGCCATGCGCCCGGCCCGACCCCGGCACCATGAGCTTCGGATTGGAGCACTACCTGTGCTCTGCCTCCTCCTACCGCAAGGTGTTCGGGGATGGCTCGCGCCTGTCCACGCGCCTCTCCGGGCAGGGAGGCTCAGGCAGCTTCCGCTCGCAGTCGCTGTCTCGCAGCAATGTGGCCTCCACGGCCGCCTGCTCCTCGGCCTCGTCTCTCGGCCTGGGCCTGGCCTACCGCCGGCTGCCTGCCTCCGACGGGCTGGACCTAAGCCAAGGGGCGGTGCGCACCAACGAGTACAAGATCATCCGCACGAACGAGAAGGAGCAGCTGCAGGGCCTCAAAGACCGCTTCGCCGTCTTCATCCAGAAGGTGCACCAGCTGGAGACGCAGAACCGCGCGCTCGAGGCCGAGCTGGCGGCGCTGCGACAGCGCCACGCCGAGCCGTCGTGCGTCGGCGAGCTCTTCAAGCGCAAGCTGCGCGCGCAGCTGGAGGAGGCGAGCTCTGCGCGAGCACAGGCCCTGCTGGAGCGGGACGGGCTGGCCGAGGAGGTGCAGCGGCTGCAGGCGTGCTGCGAGGAGAACCGCGGGCGCGAGGGCGCCGAGCGCGCCCTGAAGGCGCAGCAGCGCGATGTGGATGGCGCCACCCTGGCTCGCCTGGACCTGGAGAAGAAGGTGGAGTCGCTGCTCGACGAGCTGGCTTTCGTGCGCCAGGTGCACGACGAGGAGGTGGCCGAACTCCTGGCCACGCTGCAGGCGTCGTCGCAGGCCGCTGCCGAGGTGGATGTGTCTGTGGCGAAACCGGACCTGAATTCGGCGCTCCGGGAGATCCGCGCCCAGTACGAGTGCCTGGCCGCTAAGAACCTGCAGTCAGCCGAGGAGTGGTACAAGTCCAAGTTCGCCAACCTGAACGAGCAGGCGGCGCACAGCACTAAAGCCATCCAAGCCAGCCGAGAAGAGATCCACGAGTACCGGCGCCAGCTGCAAGCTCGCACCATTGAGATCGAGGGTCTGCACGGGGCCAATGAGTCCCTGGAGAGGCAGATCTTGGAACTGGAGGAGCGGCACAGCGCCGAGGTGGCCGGCTACCAGGACAGCATTGGGCAGCTGGAGAATGACCAAAGAAACACCAAGAGTGAGATGGCTCACCACCTTCGGGAATACCAGGATTGGCTCAATGTCAAAATGGCCCTTGACATTGAGATAGCGCCTTACAGGAAACTGCTGGAAGGTGAAGAGACACGATTTAGCACCAGTGGATTAAGCATTTCAGAGCTGAATCCACTTCCCAACCCAAGTTATCTGCTCCCTCCTAGAATCCTTAGTTCTGCAACCCCCAAAGCCTTATCCACTGGGCTGTCCCTTAAAAAGGAAGAGGAGGAAGAAGAGGAAGGGGCTTCTAAGGAAGCCTCTAAGAAAACATCTAAGATAGGGGAAAGTTTTGAAGAAACTCTGGAGGAAACGGTGATATCTACGAAGAAAACCGAGAAGTCAAATATAGAAGAAAGCACCATTTCAAGCCAAAAAATGTAATTCCATTACTTAAAAAAAAAAGTCAGCGCCTACGAGGGAATGCACTTGACTTGTCCACAGCTTACTTCTGAACCGCAGCCCCAGTCACCGCTATAGAATGTCCCTAAGGCTTCAACGTCACATTTAGTACTGAATCCTTACTTTCTCTGGCAGAAAAGCCACCCACTATGGGCAAACTGCAGTCCTGGAGTAGTCAGAGGAGTTCCCTGAGAACACTGCTTTCTCACCCACAGCTCGGGCTTCACAGTGACAGAAGACTCAGGTACAGAGCAAGGTGCTAATTCTGGTCATCATTCACTGTGAGCTGAAATGGAAACCTATGTTTATCCACTATCCCAGTACCCAGCTATAGATTCTTACTGTAGATGCCTAAAACAAAATCACTGCCAAGGATAAGCCAGTGGTCCAGACCCCATCACCCCATCCCCGCTGATACAGCTGAGTCACACATGACAGGTGGTTCTCTCATGGGTACATTCCTTCCTCCCCTCCATTCCTTATTTCCTTTCCTTCCACCCAAGAGGAGGGGAAAAGGCTAGTGTAGCGTCCCTAAACTCGTGTAGAGCTTCCTCCCTTTGCACTCTTTGCTCTGTGCGTAAGAGTAGATGCATGCTAACATTTCTGTGATCTGTGGAATGACTTATGCTTGCCCATGTCATGTCCTTTCACATTTGTAGCTTAAAGAAAGAGGAAAAGATAATAACAGCAGTGATTGATTGTAAGGTCTTCCTAAAAAATAAAAAGGATCTCTAGATTTTAAGCTTTCAGCTTGCCCAAATCCACTTAATTAGAGGGGGGAAAACCTACCTTAAATGTTGTAGCTTTTCACTTTAACTTTAGCACAGTGATAGTTGTCCTATGCTGTTCTTAAGCTAACCTTAGACTTAGTAGCATAAGTACAAGAGGTGAGTACGTCTCTGAGTGGGAAAGACCAAGGTCTCCTCTGTGTTGGTTGCCGTGTAGTGGTATAGAATTAGCTTTTTCATACCCTTGCCCTCAAATCTATAGTCCCCTTCCTGTTAGTCTAGGGCGTCAAGAGGCCTCGCTTTTTAAGAGTGCGACATAGAATACTTTATCACCAGACACAATGCTACTGCCCAAAAGTGAAAAAACAAACACTTCTGGTCAATCAACACCACCAGCAAATTTTTTTAAAAAAATCTCTCAAGAGTCTTTCCCCAACAGTTGCATTGCTGCAGTAGGTGGGTATTGATCCCCCTAAGGACAGAAACTCAGAGTTCAGGAGGGGTATGCACACTCCCCACCCCCCCACCCCCCCCCACCCACCCACCCCCCCCCGCCATCCAAAGAGGCAGGCTGAAAAGTCAGCTCCTGGTGCACCCAACTGCATCATCCAACATGTCCTGTCTGCCTCGTGTGCCAAATTTGCTGCAGGATTTTCCCTGTCTCTGCTCACTTCCACCAGAGCTATAAAGTGTCTGTCCTGTCCCCACCCATGTCATCACAAGCTGTGCTGATAAGGACGTGATGCTAATACTGAACTCATCCTAGCACGTGCTTCAGTAGATCAAGAAACTGAAAAGACACTTTCCTCTCCCTGACCCGCCATCCCCTCTTGGCTCCCACACTTACTGTAAGATGCTAGTAATATGAGAAATTAAAAGTCATTAATCCTAAAAAAAATCATTTTCCCCAAACCCAACCCCAGGAACTTACTGGTGTATCATGTGCTGGGTCACCTGCACTCACCAGGGCATGAAGACCTTGGAGTGCTGTCTCGGCAGTTCCTACTCAACCCAAATACTGGAGTTCATTTTCCAGCACCTACAGAGGGCAGCCCACAACCACCTGTAACTCTATCTCCAAGGAATCTGACATCCCCATTATAGCCTCTAAAGGACCTGCATATATGGCACACACACACGCACGCACGCACGCACGCACATACACACGCCGATCCCCAGAATCCCCAGCAGGTACAGAGCAACCGGTGGCTCCAGGCCATGCTTTGCAGAAGGTAGTGTTGAGTTCCAGGGCCCTCACTTGGACCTCACAGCTCCAGCTGCCAAGCCTTGCATTAAAATCAGTGCCAGCACCACCACCTCAGAGTCTGAGAAAGGGATGGGACCCTGAGAAGTCACTGTTCTCACCCTTCAGCCTGGTAGACGAAGTGTGACCTTTCCTGCCTTTTCTGAGTGTGACTACTCTCTCACTCACGACCTTACTGCTGCCACACCCTTCTTAAGCACTAGTCCAGGCTCTCCTTGAGACACTTCTAGACTTCTCCTATCCCTAGAGGAGTCAGAGAAGAAACAAAAGGCCCTCCAAATACAGCACGCTTCCTGGAGCTGAAGAGACTCCCCACTCTTAGCCCTGCTTCACCTCTAGTTGGACAATCTCTGTTTTCCTGCCCCCGGTCTTCATTAACTCACCTGTGAAACAGGAAGTTTCGAATTGTCTGGTGCCTTTTGTGGAAATCATTTAGCATTTCTACGAAACCCTTCCAGAACCCCCAACCCCCACATCTCTTTCTCGCCTCCATCCTCTGTCTGAGTACCAACTGCACCACCATCCCCCAAACCCGCCAAGTCACCCCTCTGCAGGCCGGCAGCACAAGGTGACCCTTCCTGCCTAGAACTCCCTCCCTCTGCCTCTCAGGAGCAACTGCCATGGTTTTCCCTGTGATGGTTGGTCATGATAGTTAATTTGACATGGTGTAGAATCACCACAGAAATTAATCTCTGGGCATGTCTGTGAGGGGTTGTTTACACAATGTTAACTGGGTGGCAACATTCCCATGGCTGGGGCCCTGGGCTGAATATAAAGCCAAAAGCAAGATGAATAGCCCATCACTCCCCCAAGACGGCCATGGTGGCCTACACCCTCAAACCACTCGCCAAAGCAAGCCATTCTCCCGTAAGCTCCTTTTGTCCCTCTCTAGCTATAGCCTTTGACACTCTCACTTGTAAGATGCATGGCTGTCTTTCTTCTGCATGTGGTGCAGACCCCACGAAGACCCTGAAGTTATGTGACCAACCCCCAAGCGTGGTACCTGGTACATATTAGATATTTAAGAACTGTTCACTAAATAAGTGGATGAATTGATCAATCACCAATCAATTGGTAATTTTCCTCTCCTTGCCATAAATCAGGATTCTACTGTATGTTCTGCGCTGAAGAGATGGAAATCGGAAGGAAGAATGGACAGCAGGGAGAATGGCCAGTGTAGCAACACCGCCCTGGGTCTCTCTCATCAGATGCTACCACACAAACTGACAGTGTTCCTGAGGTGCGGTCCATGGACATATTGAAAATGCTAACACTATTCACCCAAGCAAAGCAGAAACCACCATGTAAATCTGGCCTGTGCAAACCACGCTTGGCATTCCAAAGCCGAGGAGAAATGAATGTTGGATTAGCCTTCCATTCATGCGGATAATTGAGAGTTAGTCCAGCTCAGGCTTTATTTGCTCCTGTACTTTTAAATCCCGGCCATGGGGTCCTGCCAACCTGGGAGGACAGTGACACTAGCAAGTCAGGAAAGGCCAGGGCTGACCCTCCTGCTACTGAGAGGTCCTGGCCCGTAGGGAAGTGGGATGAACACAGGGCTGTCCACTGGGACCTTCTGGGTCAGGAACACGCAGGGATAAGGAAGAGTTACATGCTAAGGTCTCTCATGACTTCTCCTGACTCAGGGAATGCAGGAGAAAGGCTGGCAGTCATTTAATCTGGGAGCCAGGAGCTCCCACCAAGAAGCAATAAGAATTTGAATAACAAGAACATTGTCCTCAGAGAGAAAAGAAGAAAGGGAAAGTCATCACCCACCCACCCATGAGTGCCAAGACACAAAATTTAATTAGGAAGATAAGAAGTAGAGGGGAGGTTGGGCCCATGTTCCTTTTGAATTTTTTTTTTCCTTGTTATGAGCTGGGGAAAGGAGAGAAATAATTTAAGCATAGAATTAACATCTTCTAATAATCTTAGACAAAAACCTGAGTCTGTTTTGCTTTGGTTTGTAAATTAGCTCATGATTAAAGTGTCTCTTCAGCCCGAGCGCCATTGTCTTCGCAGGCCTGTGTGCTGAACGGAGCCTGACCCAGACGCCCTTGGCGCTCAAGTACAAGATTGGAGAGCATGAGGGAACGATTATTATAAAGTGAAGCCCTCGCAGTTTCGCTGCAAAATCAATGAACTTTTCAAGTGATTTTTATCATATTTTGCAGCTGTTCTGAAGCCTCTTGAGTGGCTCACACACCGTGGGGCCTGGTTGCCTAAAGAGCCTTGTTCATCTGGTTGCTGCTCCCTCCCGAGGAGCAGCTAGCACTGTCCTGGCTGGAGGCCTGAGTTGCTGGAGGGGAAGCCCAGCGGTCTTCCTCTCCCTCACTTCAAGGCATGATGTTGGGGTCAGCTCTGAGTTCCCCTGGCTGACTTAAGAGAAGTCTTCCAATGTCGGACCCTGGTGCAGAGGGATACTAGAGCCCACGAAGACTGGATTTCATGCCAGAGTGACAGGAAGTCGAGGTTCGTGGACACAGGATGGTGACCTCGAAGAGGCTATGTGTGGAGCAGGGCTTTTCAGATGAACAGATCTGAGTTGGGGGTGGGGGAGAGGAAGGGGGACTCATTAGGGCCGCATAGCTCAGCAATGCCTGGTGCACGCTGAAGAGGCCATGAAGTTCTGCATTCCAACAGAGCCAGTCTGATGCTAAAGGCCTGGAAGATTCTGAGGTTACAGATCTTCAGTCTATAGTGGAATGCAAAGAAGCTCGTGGGAAGACAGCAGCACTGATGGTCAAGAAGACAGGCAAGCATGCAGACTGATCTCTGTCTGTGTGGGCCAGCAGGCGTCACCCACTCTGGGAGACCATCCTCTTCCCTGGGTTAATCCTTCTTAGAAAACCCTTCAAAGACACGCCCAGAGGCCAGCTCTTTCCTGATTCCAGATCTAATCAACGTGCCAATCCAGATTAACCATGACAAGACCTGACATCCTAGGCACACAGGTCATAGATTAATGTCCTACAGATGCCTTCCAGCCTGTGCACCAGCCACTTCCTGGGCCACA